ATTAAGATAAAATTTAAAAATATAAAAATAATTTAAAGATATAAAAAATTTTATAAAGATAAATGATTAAAAATAATAAATAAAAATAAAAATAAAACAAATAATTACAATAAAAAAAATATTATATATATATGCGACTGTTCCGGTACTCATGGTACCGTATTGTTTTCCAATTAATAATACTTACATAACAGAGGCTAGGTACGTGGCTTCAACACAAGTGCTATGCGCGTATGCTACTTTAGCTGATAACATACGCATGCGACTATTCAACGACGTCGTGCATTAACAGTATGAATCATGATGAATGCAAAGTGTTCTGGTAAGGAAGCAACAAAGCGAGTGACGTTTGTTTGGGGTATATAGGAACGTTTCCGGCACGTTAGGGTGCATGGCTTAGTGGACTTCTCAGACTCTTGACTCTTGAGGTTGTCGTTTCTTATTCAAAGCCATCGCCAACTCGGTCTAGTTATAATTATAATATCCATCTTACAGGAAATTGAACTGAATCAATGAACATTATTCAAGCTGAACGACAAATTATTGTGTATACTGTGGAGTGATTGACGGACGAAGGGGCCAAAAAAGTCTTTGCAATCTACTAATCCTAGTCTTGCCCACTCTCCACCACTTGGCCTAATTAAATAGGTGATGATTGTGTGGAGAAAAATATAGATACCACGTACTTACCAGTTGGTGTTATAGTTCTGTTCTGTATAATCAATATGATCTTCTCAAGAGGCAACACTGCCATGTCTGCCATATTGCTGCTTCTTGGAATATTATCTTCCATTGTAATAGGTCTGTACATATTACTCTCTCTCTCTCTCTCCCAATCAATTCAATGATATATACATGACACTCTCTCTTTATTGCTCTATGTCCCATTTAATTTCCTTTAGTTCAATTCATATGCTCAGTTACTTACATGCAGGTGCACAATCCGTGGGTGTGTGTTATGGAGGAAATGGAAACAATCTACCTACAAAGCAAGGAGTGGTGGATCTATACAAATCAAACAGAATTGGCAAAATCCGCTTATACTATCCAGATGAAGGAGCCCTTCAAGCCCTCAGAGGTTCAAACATAGAAGTGATCCTTGGGGTCCCTAATGACCAACTTCAATCTCTCACCAACGCTGCAGCTGCAACGAATTGGGTCAACAAGTACGTCAAACCCTACTCTCAAGCCGTCAAATTCAAGTACATCGCAGTTGGTAACGAAGTTCACCCTGGTGATGCTGCATCAGGCTCTGTCCTTCCCGCACTTCAAAACATTCATAACGCAATTTCTTCTGCCAACTTAGGCCAAATCAAGGCCTCAACCGCAATAGACACAACTCTACTAGGCAAGTCTTACCCACCCAAAGATGGCGTTTTCAGCGACAGTGCAAGTCCATATATAAGGCCAATTATCGACTTTTTAAACAAAAACGGAGCCCCACTTCTTGCAAACGTGTACCCATACTTCGCCTACGCTAACGACCAACAAAACATTAAACTTGACTATGCCTTGTTCACGAAACAAGGTAAAAACGAGGTTGGCTACCAAAACCTGTTTGATGCATTGTTGGATTCCCTATACGCTGCTCTCGAGAAAGTTGGGGCACCCAATGTGAAAGTTGTCGTGTCGGAGAGTGGGTGGCCATCTCAAGGTGGAGTTGGCGCCACTGTTGAAAACGCAGGAACGTATTATCGCAATTTGATTGCTCACGCCAAAGGTGGCACTCCCAAGAGGCCTAATGGACCCATAGAGACTTACCTCTTTGCCATGTTCGATGAAAATCAGAAGCAGGGTCCAGAAATTGAGCGACACTTTGGTCTCTTCAGGCCTGACAAATCACCTAAGTACCAACTCAGTTACGTTTGAAATTCCAAACAGTGTGTTGATCATGTATAAGTTCGGTGTCGCTAAGAATAAGGGCCTGGGCCTGTGGTTTTAGTTTAAGGTGCACCGAGATAATGTACTAGTATGCATGTGATGCTAGCTTCTAAATTTATAATTAATAAATGCATCTCCAGTCTCTACCACTACCACTTTCTATCTAAAATTAAATGTTTTAATTCAATTCCTTGCGTGTTTTCTTTGTCATCAACATCGTAAATGCATGAGAGAACGACAATAGACGGTGATCATAGAGTTGGTCAACGGTTAAGTCGGGGATGGGTGGAATGGAATTAGATTTTTAAGTAAGTTACTGTGAATGGAAACTGTTCCGGCTAAAGGGTGTACTAGGGTTTTTTCCTAGGTCAAGCCTCAAAGCCAGAGCATTCAAAAGTGTAATTTGCCTCCTCAACTCTAGGGTTTTGGGTTTTATGGTACCTCGTTCATGGGCCTCTTGGGCCCCGAGAATGATGGGATTTCCTTAATCGTTGTTATCACGAGGGTGGAGGGTGAGTGAGGACAAGTCGAGTCGGGTTCTGACCGACTTGGTTATCACGAGGGTGCAGGGTGAGTGAGGACAAGTCGAGTCGGGTTCTGACCGACTTGGTTATCACGAGGGTGCAGGGTGAGTGAGGACAAGTCGAGTCGGGTTCTGACCGACTTGGTTATCACGAGGGTGCAGGGTGAGTGAGGACAAGTCGAGTCGAGTTCTGGCCGATTAGACCCGCACTGAGGGTGCAGGGTGAGTGAGGACAAGTCGAGTCGGGTTCTGGCCGATTAGACCCGCACTGAGGGTGCAGGGTGAGTGAGGACAAGTCGAGTCGGGTTCTGGCCGATTAGACCCGCACTGAGGAGTTACGACCGAGTAGAGGGTCAAGGTCGCCCTACTGCCGTTAGGAAGATCAGGTCGGATTACGACCTGGACGATACACTTGCCTTCCAGCCCTGAGCCTATACGGCGAGAGGGCTTTGGGCCTGGCAACCTAGTCGGGTATTGGCCGAGTAGAGGGTCATGGTCTCCCTATTGCCAATAAGGAGATCAGGTCGGATTACGACCTGGACGGTACATTTGCCTTCCAGCCCTGAGCCTATAAGGCGAGAGGGCTTTGGGCCTAGCAACCTAGTCGGGTATTGACCAAGTAGAGGGTCATGGTCTCCCTATTGCCGATAAGGAGATCAGGTCGGATTACGACCTGGACGGTACAGAAACATAAAGTTAAGAATTAAAAAAAAATCAGAGAAAATTTCTACTTATTTAGATAAATGAAAAAGTAGCAAATTTGTTCCGGCCAAAGGGTGGACTAGGGTTTTTTCCTAGATCGTGCCTTAGAGCCAGAATATTCAAAAGTGTAATCTACCCTCTCAACTCTAGGGTTTTGGGGTTTTATAGTTTCTTGTTCACGGGCTTTATGGGCCCCGAGAATGTAGGGATCTCTTTAGCCGTTCCAATCTGGAAATACTTGGTGAGTGAAGGTGGGACCTCTCCATTGCCGAGTGTCCAATCAGATAATGACCGAGTAGGCCTTTGTGGGTGAGTGAGATCAGTATCTGGTTGACGTGGCCCAAATTGGTTATATGCCGATTGACTCTAAGAGGGTGAGTTGGCCAAGGTTACAGTCGGGTGATCAAATGAGGGGAGATCAGGTCGTGAATCGACCTGGGCAGTGCTCGGGTTTATAGTCGACCTCACATGCATAGTAGCCCTTATAGTCCGAGATACCAATCGGCCTACGGCCGAGTCAGCGATACCAATCGGCCTGCGGCCGAGACAGTCCACTTGCCTTCCAGCCTTGAGCCTATAAGGCGAAAAGGCTTAAGGTGTAGTCTTTATAGTCGATGATACCAATCGGCCTACGGCCAAGTCGGTGATACCAATCGGCCTACGGCCGAGACGATCCACTTGTCTTCCAGCCTTGAGCCTATAAGGCGAAAAGGCTTAAGGTGTAGTCTTTGGGGCGTCTGTCGCTTCGATTCTTGATCCCTCGAGACTTGACAAGAGATGTCCTTTCGTTTTAGCAATCATCTATTTACCGATCAGAATGACGTGACATTAACTTAGTAAAGGATGAAAGATTTTCTAAGTTAAACCTTTAAGTTTTGACAATCAAATCGCCCCAATTCCGATTTAAAGAAAGAGATAATACCGAGCGCACTTGATCCATGAGAAAAATTCTAAGTTATGAAACTTGAGGATTTTTTGAAGACCATTTAGTCGCCTAAACACCGAGCTCGAATGGCCAGTGAGAAGAATTCTAAGTTACAAGCTTAATTGTTTTCGAAAACCGTTGTTTAGTTGCCCAAATACCGAGAGCACACGACAAATAGGAAAAATTCTAAGTTAAAAATGGGGATTTTTAAACCAAAGATAATCATTTAATTTCCGATTGCAATGACCAATGACCCCAAAATATATTGTAACATTTGAGGTTTTCAAACAAAAAGTGATCACCACAATTCCGGGTTACGCAATGAAAATCTTCCAAGTTTTAAAACGTATTTTTCCCAAATACAATTGGCCATATGCCGATTTTTAAACAAAATTTTTCTAAGTTTAAAAACTAAGTTTTCCATAGACAATCGGTCAAACACCGAGTTCTGTACTCAAAATTGTATTAGTTTTCCAAGTAAACTCGGCCAAATGCCGAGTCCCGTACTTGCAGTCGCTCGAATCCCGATTCCGTTTTGGTGAGAAAATTCATCTTTGATTGCTAGGACTCCGACTCAAGGACGTAAATGCACTATTCCAAGTTAAAATCAATAACGTAGGAGGCGCCCAATTTCCGATTCATTTTGGTAAATTCATTTTGGTAATAAAAATTCTCCTTTGATCATCCAAATTCCGACTTAAACAAGATAAGGGAAAAATTCAAGCATAAAATCAATTAAATGAATTCGTCCAAAATCCGACTGAATTAAGCAACAAGTTTCATATTTAGTCGCCAAAATACCGACTTGAAAGAGGTAAAGAAAATCATCTAAGTTTAAAAATCAATCATATGAGAGGGTCGTCCGATATCTGACTGTGTATGAGTAACCAAGTTCATATTTTGTCGTCAATATACCGATTGAAAGGGTTGAATGGGGACAAGCCGACCCTCCAGATTTATACCCGCCCAGTCGGCATTTTACCGATCAATCGCGAGTTTTGTCTGTCTTCGAGTTATTTATACTTGCCCAGTCGGATTTTTACCGATCAATCACGAGTTTGGTCTTTGAGTTATTTACTCGCCCAGTCGAATTTTTACCGATCAATCACAAGTTTGGTCTTCAAGTTATTTATACTCGCCCAGTCGGATTTTTACCGATCAATAACGAGTTTGGTCTTCGAGTTATTTATACTCGCCCAGTCGGATTTTTACCGATCAATCACGAGTTTGGTCTTCGAGTTATTTATACTCGCCCAGTCGGACTTTTGCCGACAATCACGAGTTTGGTGCCTTTAAATAACACACCTGTCGATCATGGAAAGATAAAAGAGATGGTATTTAATAAAGTTGGAATTATTGGTTAGTGGTGCCTCGTTAAAAACCTTATAGGCAAAAAACCTTTTCACATTTTTATATGGAATAAAAATCTCTTGGGACGACCCCAGCTTCTCGGCTTTCAGCTGCCCTTTTGTTGATTTGTCCCTCCTCCGTCTTGATGTGACTCAGGGCGAAAGCTCTCACCTTTGACATCGTTTGACAATTCACTTTCTCCAGCGCGATGTCGAAAGCTCCAGACCTTAAGCCCTTCTGGAACGCGATGACTGCCATCCTTTCCTCCAAGGACGCTATCCTCAAGGCGACCTCATTAAACCTTTGCAGAAAGTCCTTCAACGACTCCTCCCGCTGCTGTTTGAGATCGAACAAGTCCGACGTGATCGGTGGTTTCTTCTTGTTAGCGGCGAACTGTGTCATGAAGAGCCGACTAAAGACATCAAAGTCGGTGATTGATCGGTCAGGGAGACCACTAAACCAATCCAGTGCTGCTTTTTTGAGTGTACCCATGAATAGTTTGTAGTGGACTTCCATACTTCCTCCACAAATCAACATTTGAGCGCGGAAATTCGTCAAGTGCTGACTGGGATCCTGAGTTTCATCAAAAGGTTCGACTTAAGGAATCCAATGATCCCTCGGGATGGTCTCGGCCTCTATGGCCTCCGAAAAAGGTTAAAAATCCATGGGGACTTCCATCATGACATCTTCCTCCACCGTCCTGGCGTTGGCCGTTATCATAGCTTGCATCTCGTCCGCCCGCCTCCTAATCTCCTCGTTTTCTCGTTGAATAGCCTCCTCTCTCTCTCTGGATCGCGCATTCTCCTCCCTCAAACCGTTGATCAATGCCATCATCTCCTCCATGGTAGGGTGTTGTGAGTCGCTGTTGGATGTGCCGCCTCTCGCCATGGTAAAGTGCGGGTTCTCCTGTGTTACTTGGGGCGTAGGAAAAGTTTCACCGTAGCCCCACGGTGGGCGCCAAAATGTTCCGGCCAAAGGGTGGACTAGGGTTTTTTCCTAGATCGTGCCTTAGAGCCAGAGCATTCAAAAATGTAATCTGCCCTCTCAACTCTAGGGTTTTTGGGTTTTATAGTTTCTTGTTCACGGGCCTTATGGGCCCCGAGAATGTAGGGATCTCTTTAGCCGTTCCAATATGGAAATACTTGGTGAGTGAAGGTTGGACCTCTCCATTGCCGAGTGTCCAATCGGATAATGACTGAGTAGGCCTTTATGGGTGAGTGAGATCAGTATCTGGTTGACGTGGCCCAAATTGGTTATATGCCGATTGACTCTAAGAGGGTGAGTCGACCAAGGTTACAATCGGGTGATCAAATGAGGGGAGATCAGGTCGTGAATCGACCTGGGCAGTGCACAGGTTTATAGTCGACCTCACATGCATAGTAACCCTTATAGTCTGAGATACCAATCGGCCTACAGCCGAGTTGGCGATACCAATCGGCCTACGGCCGAGTCGGCGATACCAATCGGTCTGCGGCCGAGTCGGTGATCTCATTTGGTTTATTTTACTTAATTTTTTGTCCCTTCAAGCATCGGTCGATAGCCCTTGTGTTCAGTTCCGCGCGCCCTCTAGCTAGGGCAGCACCATGTCCATGATGCAACTTCTTATTCCCTTCTACAATGCTTTAATTTGCAACTCAAAAATCCCATCAGAGAAAGTAACTAGCTAACGGAGCTTCGCATGCTAGAAAAAAAATGGAAAAAAATAACAACTCAAGGGGCTAAACAAATATCCATGCAACCTGGAATGGCCAAAATTGCAATAAAAAATTTTAGGAATCAAAAGCGTACAATTTTATAACTATAAGGACCAAGAGTCTATATATTAATACACAAACTTGGTACCCCTCCATGTATGGATATAATAATTTTTATTATATTTATTTTATAATATTATATAATAAAACCAAAACGTGCCACTAAAATCAAAGGATACATCTTAGATTCAACTAACTGCCGTATCGGTTACCCTTGGACACCAAGGCACTTGATGCTCAGTACAGAAGGTCGTCAACGGATGGGATTGCAGGTTCAAGCTGGCCACATTAGTAGGCCCTAGATTGGATTAGAGGTTGATCTCAAGTCATCTAGTCGTGCTAAGGGTTAACTTTGAACAATCAAATTGACTTAGTCGACCTTAAATCATCGGAGGATACAATATTTAATTGAAATTTTTTATGACTTATTGTCTTATTTTATTAAAAAAAATACAAAAAATAATGAAATTAATATTTTTGAAACGATTTTTGTGTAATTTTTTAGTAGAACTTATAAATATCTCACTCAACTTCTTCGGACTTTTCTACTCATTCCTCTTTCTTTTCTTTTTTTCTGCTGTTACTTTTCTTTCTTCCATAGTTCCATCGCACATGAGTCCTTCTCTTTTCATTAAATGCAGAATACATTGGTACAATAGTTGGTCATTTATTTCTTTTTTAATCTACGCGCCTTCTCTACAACTAAGTGAGAGGCCTAATAAAGGACCCATAAAGACTTACCTCTGCCATATAATCTTTGATGAAAACAGGTCCAGGAATTAAGCCACACGTTGGTCGCTTTAGATACCAGACAAATCACCAAGTACTAACTCAATATCAATTGAAAAGGAAGTATTATATAATTTTTAAATATCTTTCAAAAATAGACTTAATTTATATATTAAGAATTTTAAATTTAATGATTGGATTATTGAAATTTAATGTAAATATGAGTTATTAGGTAGAACAAATTTATTAAAATTTATTTTTGGAATAAATATATTGTTCATATTTGTACGGATGATATCAAATGATATTGATATAACTTTCTATATATATATATAAGAAGGGATCAAATGACATAGATATAACTTTTACTAACTATTATACCGTTTTATAACTTTATATTAAATGTGAATTTTTTTTCTTATTATTATATTGCAAATATCTTACAAATCATATATACAAAATTTTATATTAATTCAAGATGATTTGATACCTCATTCATATAAATTAAAATTAACATAATATATTATATATTTCAAAACATTCAAAAATATAAAGTTATTAAGTAGCCTTGTAAAAAAATATAAAGTTATTAAGTGATGTAATGATTGATAAAAGTTACATCGATGTCATTTGATTTCCTACACACATATATGAAAAGGAATCTACTTTTTCCAAGAGTAAGTCTTTGTAAACTTACTTTACTCAATAATTCACGTTCTACATCAAATTTCATTAATCCAATCGTTAAATTAAAAGTTCTTAATACATAAATAAAGTTAATAAATTTTTAAAAATTTTGAAAACTATTTGATATTTCATTTCTTTAATTCAAATTGACGAAATAAAACATTTTATTTGTTAATTTGAATTAATTAAATGGAGTATCAAATAGTTTCAAAAAAAATTTTAAGTTTTGATAAATTTTCCTCACCCAATAACTTATATATATTCTACATTAAATTTAAATGATTCAATCATTATGATACTTAAGTATTAGTTAAAATATTTATACGTACTACCAATCAATAAAAAATATCACAAATACGACTTTTAAAATAATTGTTTTAAAATTTAATAATTATACCTTAAATGACAATTAATTCTTGATAATGCAATATTTAAAAACTTAATTTTATCCTTTCAATGATCTTTCAAACTAAATTCATATTTTTTTATATATACAAACGGATTCTACAAAATTATTTTTTAATAAATTGTATTCTGAAATTAAAATTGATCACATATGTACTCCATAGGACCATAGGTACTATAGTTTTTCAGAATGGTTCTTTTTTTTTTGTAGCCGCCATTATGAATAATAAGTAGAGATACGATTTTAAAAGAAATTAAAAATTGGTGACGCTTGTGTGGTGCATATAAGTTTGAAGGAGTCTCGGACTCTTGGGATGCCAAACAAGTGGGTAACGAACTTCTGTTCTGACTTATCAACAAAGGTTCAACTAATGTTCGAATTTGTAAAAGTGTTCACAACTTCATATATGTATTTAGTGTCTCATTGTAAGAAAATCTACATATTCGAAAGAAAAAAAATCTTCTCACTCTAACCTGTTGCAAAATGGTATGAATTCAGATTTGAGTCAGTTTAGTTGCATAGACTTTTCATGAGAATGTACTTAATATATGTGACGTATTATACAGGTTTAAACTTTCCTTCACATTACTTAGGCCATGGATGAATATTCTATGCTCCTTCACCGAAATATGCGGTTGGAACTGAGTGTTGGAATTCAAATTCAAAATTATTAACTCCTAATAGTGATTGACGGGGCAAAAATCAAAGTCTTTGTTTTCGAAGATGTACCGTGCTTGCTATGCAAAACATATGAGGATCTTTCTGCATATAAATAGAGGTTAGCTGCATGAGTAAAAAATATAAGATCCAGTTTTAAGTTGAAGATTTAACGATATGTTTGTCAAAAATAGCACTGCAATGTCTGCCATATTGTTCTTTGTTGGAATATTATCTTCCATTACAGGTATATATATAGTTCTCTTCCTTTTTAAGTAATGCACATATTTTTTTTTTTCATAGCCTTCGCTTCTTATGTTAACATTTGAGTCACTTTATTGGATATATTTACATTATATTGGGATGTATATTAAACAATTGTGAGAAATTATTTCTCACAAGGATATTCCTGCCTTTACATTTATAACTTATAAAAAAATTGGAGTAGAAATTTTTTCATATATGATAATTATAATTTCTAATAATTACAAATTCCGATAATCATAATTTTTAGTGATAATTAAAATTTATTTAATTACTCATCAAAGTTTTTGAAAATATCGATATAAATTTCCTGAAAAATAAATATTTTTATGTTTAGTTACAATATTATTTTATTAACTATATAAATATTTTTTCTAGAATTATTTTTTACCAAAAAAAAATTTGAGTTTCTCCTTCCTTATAGTGTATAATCTTACCATAATATCTAATATAAAAAAATTATCATATTTAGCTTAAAATAACAAATCAATAATTTACATATGATTAACTATACATAAATTAAATCACAATAAATCAAAGTATAGAATATGGTTTTTATGATTTATCATAATAAGAAAATAAATTAAATTAATAATTAAAATTAAAATATAAGTAAACTAGAAAATAAATAAATATATATAGTGTTATTTTGCTTAAATAATTTATTAAATTTGGAAGCTAAAAATTGTAATAAAAAGTTAGTAATTAAGTTTTACAATTTATAAACTTTAAATAATTATAAAATATCATATCTTAAGAAAATTACATAATTATTATAATTTTTATTATTAGATTAACGAGAAAAGTGATTAAAAAACAAATAGTTCCTATCAACAATAAAATATTTTGTAATAAAAAAAATGCAATAAAGTAATTTATTAGAAATTTATACATGAAACATTGGATTTTTTTTCTTAGAAAGTAATATTATATTTTTAAAAGGGATAAAAATAATATGTCTAATAAATTATTTAACAATTTATATTTTAATTATTTAATAAAATTATTATATTTTCGTGTTTTTTATTCAAATGATAATGGATAAAAAAATATTACTTAATTTTTATATTTTAAAAAGATGCTGTAATATTTTTATATACATAAAATTTTCTCATTAACTAAAAAAAGTTGTGATATAAATTTATTTTTAATTATTTATAATTATTATTTCAGTATATATAATATATATAATTATTTATTTTATACGACAAAAGTTTATAATAAATATATATTTTTGAATATATAATTTATCTTACAATTAATAATCATAATAAATAAATATTTTTAAAATATAAAATATATTTAAAATTTATAATAAATAATTTATATTTATATTATGAAAAAATATTAACTATTGATAATTTTTTAAAAATTTAATTTAGAAATGACGAAGAAAAATGATATATTAAGATAGATAAAAAATAAAGAAAAGTCTCTAAAAACTTTATCGTCGAATAAATGTCTTTAAAAGCAGTAATAGTATTTAAAAGTACTTGAACATAAAATAATTATTTTAGAGTTTTTTTAATTAAAATTAATTTTAATTTTAAAATAAAGATTAAAAAGTTAAATCGAAAATTTATGAGTGGGTGAGAAAATCCTTAAAAAACTCTCGTTAAAAATCGAGTTATTTATACATACAAAAATTTATTAATATATTCATTTTTACTTTCACGCGATGAAGCTGCTCTCAATTAAATGGTCATACACGTATTTAACTTTATAATATATTTTATCCTTTGTAAAATTAATGTCTTTATTGTTAGAAAATCCACTCAATATATAGAATTACTTGCATGCCTAAGGATTTCAAATGGAACGCATGCACACTAGGGTGAGTCGTATGTCTTGGTTCTATATAGAGTTAAATTATAATATAAAATTAAAATATATCATTATGCTAATTTTAAAAAAGGAAATAAATCCCTTAAAAAAAATAAAACAATTTGATAAAATATGTAAATTGAATAATATTTTAAAGATTACAAACTCTTAAAATAATTGATCCTCTCCATTTATTTTGATATTTGAATTGCTTTGACAGTGTTTATATATCCCAACATAATTACTTAAATATTTATAAATTTGATGTAGTTGCACAATCGATCGGAGTTTGCTATGGTGTAATTGGTGGAAATCTACCATCAAGGCAAGAAGTTGTGGATTTATATAAAACGAATGGCATAGGTAGAATGCGTATATACTACCCAGATGAAGAAGCACTACAGGCCCTTAAAGGTTCAAACATTGAGTTGATCATGGACGTGGCTAAGGAAACCCTCCAATCTCTAGCAGACTCCAATGTCGCCAAAGATTGGGTCAATAAGTATGTGATACCTTATTCACAAGATGTCAAATTCAAGTACATCGCTGTTGGAAATGAGATTCACCCCAATGACAATGAGGCCCAGTACATACTAAGTGCCATGACCAACGTTCAAAACGCAATTTCATCAGCCAATTTACAAGGTCAAATCAAGGTGTCAACAGCAATAAAGTTCGATTTGATTATGAACTCGTATCCACCCAATGATGGTGCTTTCACTGACGAGGCAAAGTCATACATAACACCAATTATCAACTTCCTAGTGAGCAATGGGGCCCCACTTCTTGCCAACGTGTACCCGTATTTTGCTTACGCTGGTGACCAAAGCATTCCACTTGCCTATGCTCTTTTTACTCAACAAGGAAACAACGATGTTGGGTACCAAAACCTTTTTGATGCTATGTTGGATGCAGTATATGCTGCTCTTGAGAAACTTGGTGCCTCCAATTTGCAAGTAGTTGTTTCTGAGAGTGGGTGGCCATCAGAAGGAGGGAATGGGGCCACTACTGATAATGCAGCCACTTATTATGGTAATTTGATTAGCCATGCCTCTAGTGGGAGTGGAACTCCAAAGAGACCTGGTGGACCTATAGAGACTTACTTGTTTGCTATGTTTGACGAAAATCAAAAGACTGGTGAAGATTCTGAGCGTCATTTTGGTCTCTTCACTCCTGATAAATCACCCAAATACCAACTCACTTTCAATTAATTCAATTCAAACTTATGCTATTTCAATTAAATAAGTGTGCGTGCTGCTGCTGCTTCTGCTTCTGCCCACCCATCAAAAACTTATATTACAATAATTATGGAACATCTTACGTTTTATTTTGTAATATTTTCACCTTGTTTCAATAAATACAAACCAACTTTCTATTACATTAATTATTTACTCTCGGATTGATGCCTTATTTACTCATTTTATAATATGGTTTAAGTTATGCAAATATGACTTTTCCATTCATGGCTTACGTACGGTGGTGATGTATAGACATGTTTCTTGTGCCTAATTTAGTTCATCCCCAGATGAGTGAGAAAGAAAGAG